AACAGCCTCTCACCACACCTAAATGTGGCATTTCTCTCATGTTTCCCTCTTGGATTTGCAAACTTTAGTTTAAGTAAGATCTGAAAAACATTTGAATGTGCAGAAAAACTGTTCACTGTTCCAAAAAAGAAAGAAAGAAAGAAGAAAGAAAACAAACAAAGAAAGAAAGATAATAATTAAAACAAATTATCTGCTGTGAACCCAAAAATATTTTCTGCAGAAAAACCTGGGGCTAAAGTTAGTAGAAAGTGCTTCTGAGTTTGGGATACATTTCTGTGCCACAGGGGCATCAGGGATCACCCCACTGAGATGCAAGTGGATCCTCAAAATGGCAATGAATGAGCAGAGAGCAGGGCTGGCTGGCTGCACTGGGGCTGCCGTTTATTTCCCCAGGCTGGAGCCTTGGGGATGCACAGCACTGCTGGGCTATGCTGATTTCTCTGCTCCCACTTCAGTACTTTTTTTTTTTTTTTTTTAGTACAAGTTTTAGCTGCTCCCATTTTCTTTTTTAAATTAAATTAATTTATTTTTATTTTTATTTTTTTTTGCAGTAACCATAAAGTGTTGTAGGAAAAAAAAACAAAAAAAGGTCAAACTTCATTAGCTAATTAATTGTCAGAAACCCATAACTTGGGGGGGTGGGGGAAACAACAAAGAAAAAAAGAAGAAAAAAAAAGGCGTTTCCTCCCCTCACATGGCTGTGCAGCCATTTTGCACTGACAATACCATCCAAACAGATCTCCCCTCATCAAAGTTCCCCACGTTTGTCTACCTAAAGCCATGAGCCATGCACTAAGGTAGTGCACAGCACAAGGCAAACAGCTCTGGGGAATGGCTTTGTGAGGAGCACAGAGCACTGAGCAGAGCTCATTTCAGGGCAGATGAAGAAGGACAGAAGGACGCAGGGAGGAGGTTGGGGTGCAGGAAGGGCAGTGGGGTGGCCCTGGGCTCTGCAATTTGTGGGCTAAGCTGTCCAAAGAATGGGAAGAAAAAGCCAAAGCTCTCAGCACTGGGTCGCTCCTGAGCACAAGAAAAAAATATAAGGAGCAGATGAGAAATTGTATATTGTGAAGGGAAAGGGCATTTTCAACAGAAGTGTTTGGGAGCTGGTTCTCCAGAGGGTATGTGGATTAATGGCTGAGTTGAAGCTGGTTTCAGGGGTGTTGCCTTGCTATTGGGATGTTATAAACCATACAAATATGGTTGGGTTTGTAAAAAGACAAAACCAAAATCAACCCCAACTATCACAGAAGCGGGGAGGGGCTGAGCTCTTATCAACCTCCAGCAAAGGAATAAATATCTGCTAAGATATTAAACCGATTTAAAATAAAACAACAAAAAAAGTAAACTCTGTCAAACCCCAGCAGCTAACATCTCCAATCGTGCTTATAAGATACCTAAAGAAACCATCGGAACTCAAAATAACGTCGCTTTTTTTTTTTTTTTTTTCTTTTCCCCCCTTTTTTAAATATCTAAAGAAAAATGTTACAGAGCTTCCTCCGAGGCAGTGCCATACCAACATTTGTGGAGAAAGAAACGAAGATTTCTCCTCCGAACGCCTAACGACTGCTGGGCAGGAGCCGGGGGCGTCCCGCCCTGCCCGCGCGGGGCTCCCGGCCCCGACCCTCCCCCGGCGCGGAGGGACCGGCGGAGCCCCCGGCCCGGGCCCTGGCGGGAACCCAGCGCGGGGCCGCGGGGCGCCCATTGTTCTCTCCGCGGGGATTTCACGCTCGGGCTGCTGCCCCGTTTCCTTCCCTCGATATCTTTTTCCCCTCGGCTAAAAGAGCTCCTTGAGCGAAGCGGGAAGCGGAGCCGGATTTCTCCCGAACGCACCCGAACGAAACAAAACAAAAGCCGAACAAAAAAACACGTCCCGAATCGAGTTAAACCCCCTTCGACGGGGGAAAGCGGTCCCGCGGCCGAAGCCGCGCTTCGTTTCCAGCCCCGCGCTTCCAGCGGGAGCCCCGCGGAGCACCCCGGGCCGGAGGAGCCACGTGGGGAGGGCTCCGGCCGCCGGCTGGGATGGAGCCCGGGCAGCGCCCGCCGGGGTTCCCTCTTCCCGTCTCCGCCACCGCCGGGAGCAGAGCTCGCGTCCCGGACGCCGCAGTGCCCCGTCGCAGCGGGGCCGTTCGGAAAGCCCCGTTCGGAGCGCGGCTGCTCCCAGCGGAGTCGGAGCCGATAAAAAGTTGACGGCCGGTGCGTGCCAACGTGACTGCAAACTGGATTTGGGTTTTAAATGCGCGTGAGAGGATTTTTGGTTTTGTACGATCGGTTTGCGAATGTTTTAAAGCTGAAAAGGAGATAAACCGAGCAACAGAACCCGGAGCCTGAGATCACCGTACAGAATGAAGAAATAAAACCTTTGCTCTCCGAGCTGAGCACGCAGCTCCATGCTGAGCCACAGGCACCGCGCTCTGCACACCGGAACACTCGCTCAGAAATGGGGTTTGCATCATTTCGGTAGCGCGCGGCGTGACCGCCGCATTACAAAGTAAGGAGTCCCTGTGGCTTCCCGGCCGCACGGTCACACAGACACCGAGGCGATCTCTTTGCGGCTCTGCTTTATTGGAAAAACCGCCCTACCCGGCGCGGGGCCGCCCGCAGCGTTATCTCCAGCTCTCCGTCTTCATCGCTCTCCAACCGCCCGGCCGCGCCGCTAGCCCGGTACCCGGTTCCGAGCCGCCTTCGAGCGGCGCGCGGTCCGAAGACAAAGCCGGGACCGTACACCGGGGATCGGCGGCCGCTCGCCCCGCATCCCCGCGGCCCCGGGCCCGCCGCCGCCTCTTTTTCCGCCGCGCTCACCGGCACGGCCGCACTTACCGCGTGACAAAGGCCGGGCCGCCACCGGCTCTCCCCGCCCTCGCCCCCCGCTCCCGCGCCCCCTTCTCTCTCGCCCGCGCCCCCTCTTTCGCGCCACGCGGGCCGGCGCTTTAGCCAATAGAAAGCGGCGCAGCGGCGCGCTCGGCCGTCCGCTGGCCAATGGGAAGAGGCGGCGCGCCACGCCCCGCGCCGTTTTACTACGAGTGGCGATGGCCGCCCACGGGTGGGAGTGGAGCCGCGGCCCCGACGGCTGCCCCGGGCCGGCGCGGAGTGGGGGTCGCCGTACGAGGGCCCGCCCGCCTACTCTATACAGGGCGGATCTCTGCACCGCGACCCCCGCTCCACCGGGTGCTCCTTTATTTTCTGGCATTTCAGCCTTCGGATTTACTCACGAAACCGCTACCCAACCCACACTTCTTGCAAACAAAGCTCCGTATTATTGAGCATTAGAGACAAACATTCCGCCTTATTAGCGAGATGTTTCCAGAGGAGCAAAAGAAAGGGACTGCTAATAAACGGGGTTTTATTTCTACATTATTTTTTTTTTCCCAGCCATCCGATTGCGATCGTGCTGTGGACTTTCAAGCTTCATTTCTTACAGTAGATCTCCCAGCAAACACATCCGCAAAAGAGGACACTGCATGGGCGCAGCCCGGCTGGCGGCCGGAGGAAATCCCGCAGCCCAACCATGGCGGAACGAGCACATGCACAGCGCTGGGAAATTCGGCACGGATCGAATTCGTGCAGAGCGCAACGAAGCCTCGAGGACGGCGGCCGATGGCTGCCCGGGTCCGACCGAGCGCGGGGCGCTTGGCGGGGGGCTGCACCCGGCTGACACAATTGTTTCTTTCAACGACGCCATAACGTTTGAAACGATGAAACACAAATTCATTTCGGGAAATGCCTCAGCCGGCGTTAAAGAGCCAGGAGGAGGTTAATACAGTCGGGGGAAAAAAAAAAAAAAAGGGGTGGGGGGGAAGATGAAGAGAATTATTTGCTCATTTCCAACAAAACGGAAGTAGTGCTTAAATTCCGATGAGCGCAGCCCAGCCGACAATCCCTCCAGCCGGCTCCGAGCTGCCGCGCTCGCCCATCCCGGTTCCTGGCGGAGCCGCGGGCACCGCCGCGCACAGTGGGAGGGCCGCTCTGCGCGGCCGCGGGAAGGCCCCGCACGATGGCTTCGGGAAGGAGCGGCCCCGATGCCCCCGGAGCGCGGGGAACAAAGGAGCAGCCCCGTCGAGTTGTGCCGAAGTTGCGCCCCGCGGCCGCTGCGGCACGCGTGGGAACGAGCGCGGCGCTGAGAAAACAGCGGTCCGCCGCGCTCCCATCGTGCGGGGCCGCGCGGGAAGGGACGCACCTCCCTCGGGCGCGCCGAGCCCCGCTGGACGACCGCACGGAGCGCGGCCCGGCTCTCATTTCCGTCTCCTCTCCCCGCTGAATGCGCCTTCCCTCGGCCCCCCGCCCGTCCCTCCGTGCTTCCCCCCGCCCCGAGCCCCCCGCCGTGCCCGCCCGACCGAGTCACTAACGGCTCTGGGGGGAGGGGGCCGCGGCCCTTTGTGTGCCCCCGGCCCGGCTCCGGTGCCCCAAGCGAGGTTCCGCCGCTCCCCGTCCCCGCCCCCCCCCCCGCCCCCCGCCCCGGTGTCTTTTTTTTTTTCCCTCTTGTATTTTTCCCTCCTTTCTCCCCTCCTTCCCCTAACGCCCGCATCGCACAACCATTACCAGATGGGGCTCCGGAGGGGCTGCGCAGCCCCCCGCCCCATCGCAGCCCCCCAGCACGCAGTCGCGGCCGCTCCCCCAACCCCCCAATTCCCATTCCCATCCTCATTCTCCTCCTCCTTCTATTCCTCCCCCCGACCCTCCCGGCGCCTCGGGCTCTCCGCGCCGCGCTACCGCTGCCCAATCCCCCGGCCCGGCCCGGCGGGGAGGAGCGGGGCGGGGGGCGGGCACTGCGGTGCCTTTTCCCCTCCCTCCTCGGGCCGCCACCCCTCTCACTCGCTCCTTTTCGGGTGGCTGGGGCCCCCCGGCGGAAGGGCAGAGGAGGGGGCAGGGCTTGCGCCCACCCGGCTCCGCGTTCCCCTTCCCCCGCCCTCCGCTCTCAACTTCTCCCGTCCCGCCCGGCTCCCCTCGGCCTTCACCCCGACCCTCCTCCTCCTCCTCCTCCTCCTCCTCCTCCTCCTCCTTCCTCCCACCCCCCACTCCGGCCCAGTCGCTCGCTAATTGAAGAGCCGGGATTCCTCACGTGAGAAGTTGATTTGTAGTTTGAACACGTGGCTCATTCAAAAAGCCGGAATATTCAAGTAATTTTTTTTTCTTTCCCTTCTCTGACTCCCTCCCTCCTTCCTTCCCCCTCCCCTCCTCTCTCTGTGTGTTTTTTTGCAGCGAGAGGCGGTGCCTGCGCGCACGTAGTGTGACATTTCCATAGTCCGCCCGCTGCTGCCGGAGGGGCTCGGGGGCAAAGACAAAAAGTACTTTTTTTCCCTCCCTCCCCTCCTCCTCTTCCTCTCGCAGCCCGCCATCGCGGCCCGGCGCCGGCTGTTCCCGCGGCCCCCCATGCGCCCGGGTGGCACGGCACGCACTTAGGGCTCCGTTCGCCTTCGTTTTCGTTTTATTTTTTACCCCTTGAGAGAGGGAGGGAGGGCCGCGAGCTGCGGAGCCGATTATCCTCCCCGTCCTCTCTCTCTCTCCTTCCTCCATCGCGTTTTGTTTTCTCCCCACCTCCTCCCGCCAGCCGAGGGCTGCAGCCGCCGCCGGGAAGATGAACAAGCTCTACATCGGCAACCTCGGCGAGAACGTCAGCCCGCTCGACCTGGAAAGTCTCTTTAAGGACTCCAAGATCCCCTTCTCGGGCCAGTTCCTGGTGAAGACGGGCTACGCCTTCGTGGACTGCCCCGACGAGAGCTGGGCCATGAAGGCCATCGAGGCGCTTTCAGGTGAGCGGCCCCGCGCCCACCCCCGACGGCCCCCGTTGTCCCCCCCGCGCCCAGGTGAGACTCCCCCGGCGCGGCAGCGGCCCCCGGGGGGGGGGAGGGGGGAAGCGGAGGAGGGCCGGGCCCGCGGCCCCCTGCTTTTTCCACACCCCGGGGCCCGTCGCGGGGGCGGGCGGCCCTCGGTGCCCCCCCTCCCCCATTCCCTCCCCGCGGCCCCTCGGCTCGGCACGGCGCAGGCCGCGGGCTGCCCGCCGAAATGCCCCGCAGCCGAGAGATGGGAGCCCCGCCGCCCCCCCTCCCTCGCTCCGCCCGGTATTTATTTCGGTTTCTTTTCGCCGCTCTCACGCACCCATCACCGCCTCCAGCAGCGCTCCTGCTCCCGGCCCCGACATCCTGTTTTTGTGAATTAAAAAACAAAACAAAACAAAAAAACCAAAAATACACAACGCGAAAAAACCGCCAACAACAACAGCAACAAAAAACTCCAACAAACAACGTAATAATGACAATAATAATAAAAACAGCGGGTGAAGCTGCTTAGCGGAACCTCCGCGAACGGCGGCCCCGCCGCGGTCGGGCCGCTTTCCCTGCGTGCTCCCGGGCCGGCTTGGAGGCCCGCGGCTCCGCGCAGCCCCTCTCGCCTTCCCCGGGAGCAGCGGCCCGCGGCCACGGCTTTGTTCCCGCCCCGGGCCGCCCCGCGCTGCCCCGCGGCCGATGAATGGGCTCTAACGTGTTGCGCTCCGCTTTGCTGCCTCGCGCCGCCGCGAGCCGCACGGCCGCTCTCCAATATTTTCCCTTCTGTTCTTCGCAGGTAAAGTGGAGCTGCACGGGAAACTCATAGAAGTTGAGCATTCAGTCCCTAAAAGACAAAGGTAATTTCTCTTTTTTCTCATTATTATTATTGTTAATTCCCTCTGCGTTTCCCTAGTGATAAGTGATTTGAAAAATTGCATAGGCTTGAGTTTCTCATCCTTATAGATAAAGGGATGTCTTCCTTACACCCGCAGCTTGTTCTGTGCCTAATGGCCCCGTGTATTTCTATGGATTGCATTGAGCAGGGTAGTGTTTTAAAAAAAAGAAAAGAAAAGAAAAAGGCCTTTTTGTGAAATAATCAGGTTATTGCATTGCAATGGTGGAAGGTTGGTAAGATTTTAAAGTTCCCTCAAGGAGTGAAAATTCGGTGTGTGAGCAGGAGCTGCAGAGTGAGGGGCTGTGGAGCAGCGAGCACATGAGCTCCAGCAGCAGAACGCGTCGTGTAAATACGCTGCTGTGTACATCTCTGCTCCTGCCATGTTGGAGTCCAGAGCGTTTTATAGGCACGCGGTGCAGAGCTGTGTTTGACTATCTGTGTGCAAGAGGGTTTGTATCTCCTTCGAGTCGGTGTAGTGAAGCAGCAGGATGACTTCTTCTTAAGAAAGGCTGGATTAATGGGTCCTTAATTTCAAAATGCATGTTTAATTTTTTTCAGGGTAGTAATTTAGTGGGCCTCGCGTGCAGAAGCGATACTTGCGATACAGCAGGGCGGTGTTTTTCTGCTGCCTGTAGCAATTCAGCCACAAATGCTAGATTGCAGGGAACCTGGCGTGCACCAGATAATACCAGCAAAAGGCACTAAACTTTGCACGTGCTTGTTTCTGAGCTCCATTATTCGATCTGAGAAGTACATCTGTGTGGAACTTTGGGGGAGAGGGGCTTCTGCCATTTCAGCATTCATTTTAAAAGCACGGTCATTTGAAAATAGCTGATTGGAAAAGGAGAATTTGGACGTAGTAATGGGTTGCTTTGGGAATTGAAGTTTAATCACTGTTAGGTGTTGGAGGAAATCTTTGCTCGGGAAAGATGGGGGATTTTTGATCTATTTAAGGGGCATAAAAAAAAAAAAGCACAACTGAAAACCCTTTCTGGAGCATTTTGCAGTGTGCTGATCATTGTGGTTGCATTTGGTATTTCTTTTAATTGGGAATTAATGTACTATGTGCGCTGCTTCATTTGTTATGCGAGATACGTGGCTTTGGTTTGCAGCAGTCTGCATTTCAGGTCTTCTGTATATAAAAAGAAATTATTGTGGAGGGAAAATATTTTTATGTTTAAGAAGGAAGAGTCCGTGGGACACGTAAGGACTGATCACTTCCTCTCAATTTCCATAATAAATGAGCGTATCATTCTTATTCATCTTAAGCTTGCACAAATTATTCTGTTCACGTTGTTGAAAACAAATTTATTTTGCTTATGGTAGAGGCAAACTGAACATTGCTGTGTTCCTCTCCCCAAACTTTTTTGTATTACTGTTTAATGTGCTTCAGTGTATTTTCCTGCTCTCCGAGCTGTTGTCAGATGTGGATTAGTGTAAAAGTCCCTTCTTCACGTTTGTTGGTGTCTTCCTGTATTTGTGTATTCCCAGCTATCACCAGTGTGGATCTGTCTGCACTGGGGTTGGGAACAGGGCTGCACTGGACTTTAGCACTTCTCCAGCCTACATATGGGCATAGCAATAGGATTTAAAAAAAAAAAAAAAAAAAAAAAAAAAGGCAGATACAATTGTATCAGCCTAGCCGCCTTGTTTCTCCCCAAGTCCTCACTAGTTAAAGCACACACAGCTCCGATTTATGCTGCCATTTAAGAGAAAATTAACTTGCATTTCTCATAGCTGCACTTCCTTCCCCTTTGTTTCTACTACTCCTCTTCCAAAATCAAATATAGAAACCCATTTAGAATTTGTTCAGTGGCCTCCGTAAGTAAAATTGCCTTTCCTGCTCCTTTTATAGATGTAGGATACTCTTCCATTTGGGGGTGGGACTGGAAAGGGGGGGGGGGGAGAGGGGTTGTCAAAAAGTTGGGATTTTTTTGCGTCTCCAGACATTGCTGACTGGGTGTGTATGTAGAGTGGTGAGATGTGTGAAAGCACGGCCTTCCTAAGCTGGCGTTTTGGTGAGGCTGGTTGTTAACGTGTTTTCAGAGTAGCTTCTTGCAGCCCCCGTATCTCTTGATGCAGGGGCTGCTAGCTGGGCCTCCATGGGGCCTCACGTGCTCCTCTGCTTCCGAGCTGGCCAGAGGAGTGGCACTGTTCACAGCACCGGCGAATACACCAAACCTGTCCCTCCCTGTGAGCGTACAATTAAGTTGGGTCAAGTGATGTTTCTTAAGAGCAAAAGTTGGTTTGTGGTGTGTTGGAGTTGTTGTATTGCACCCTGGTCACTGTGAGGCTGCTTTGTGGGGAGCTCCAGCTCACTGCCTCACAAATTCCTCTATTATTATTATTATTATTATTTTTTTTTTTTTTTTTTTTAAGACTGTATGGCTCCCACTGGTGGTTTGTGGGTGTCCTTCCAGGGAAGGGTGGGAGGGAAGGCCGAGTGCTTGGCCATCTGTCATGCGCAGGAGGTCAGGATGCCATAGGCCGGGGCTGCCATGATGCTGATGGGTGGAGAGGGACTGAGGGCTGGGGTGGCTGCATTCCAGCCTCTGCTGGATCCCCACGCTGGGAGTGGGCACACCCAGGCCTGCAAAATTGCCTCCCTACCTGCTGTGCAGGACTGTGTATGGCTCTGCCTCCCCTCCCCCTGGAAGTATTTAAAGACAAGGGCTGTGCTGAAAGAAGGGGCCTGGTCAAGGTTTTCTAGATAGAAGGGTGGGGAATTATTTTGGGGGAGGTGCAAAGTCTTTAATAAGCTCAGCGTAGATTTCTGACTTACTATGGAAATCTCAAGGGAATGTGAAAGGAATGCAGAAATTCTACATTCGGACCCCTCTGCACGGAGGGAAGGCCATTGCAATATTTAAAGGTTTAGGTCACTTTATTCAAAACTCTGTGGAGGCATCGCAATCATCCCGCCTGCCACTCGTGTTCCGCCGAGGAACGCGGGGCACGGTTTGTGGCAGCCGTGCCTTGGCCCGGCTCTCCTCCCTGGGGCCAGCACGGAGCAGCACATGGCACGCCTTTGGGTGCTGCCTCGTGGCACGGCAGGAGCAGCTGGCACCTCGCGAGGCCGCCTGCGCTGTGCCTGGTCACTGACGTGGCCCTGTGTCACTTGGGCTGTGCCATTCCCCCTCATCACACCCCAAATGGGGGCACCTGGGGCTGGCCCCTCCCCACCTCCCGTCCCTTCCAGGTGCTTAAATCACTCGTGACACCTGAACTGCATTAATGAGGAGGTGTTTTCTCTGATTGGGAGGTTAATTTTTTTTAACCGCACCTCTGGGGGCCCTTTGTTCTGTAGAGAAAATAAATTCCCTTTCCCTCTGCTGGAGGAGCTTTCTCTAGGAGAGGAGGTGACAGAGGTGTGCCACGTGGGTGAGGCCTCCTTTGATGTAACACCCAAGCGGGTGATGGCTGATCTGAGGGCAGCAGGCCCCAAAGTGCTCGCAAAACCCGTCTGTGGGAGCCTTGCGCCGTGCTGTCGGATTTGGTTGCTAATTTCTAGTATAATTAGGGCTTGTGTCTTCTGTGTGCGCAGGGCAGTGGGAAAAGGCTTCAGGGCCAACCTATGCAAGGAAGCTACGGCAGTCATGGGTATTTAAAAATAATTTTGTGGCAGACATTTTTAGTCTTGCTTCTGTAAACATAAAGCAAGGCTAAGCATGCTGTATGTAAGGAGATGTGATAGAAAATGTCATTCATTAACTGTATTCGTGCCCTTTTCTGTGGAACGAGGCTGAGGCCGCGCCTGGGTGCGGATCAGCATTTTAGAGAGCGGGAAGTTAAAATGCGCGATTTAAAATTGGAAGCTTTAGTCTCTGTTCTCACACTTCTACTTGCAGATGTGAGCAGGGATTTTTTTTTCTTCCCCTCTTAATAAATAAATAATTGTTTGAAAGCTCGCTCTTGAAGTAGAAAATGTGATCCTGCGTAACTCTTGTGATTCCTATGTGGCCAAGTTGTGACGGCAAGAACAAGAAATTATTTGCTGACCATGTTCTCTTATGTTGTTGAACACTTAAATTTTACAGCTACTCATACTATCTCATCACTTAAAAATATATATATCCTTTTTTGCTGCAGTTTTTTTTTTTTTTTAATAAGCTAAAATACAGGAAATACATCCCCCAAGTTGTGCCCTGAAAACTCAGTTTCATTCTCTTATTACTTTATGGGAAAGCATACCTGTAGTAGACATTAAGTTGTATGTAGATTGGTAAATCCTGAAGGGAAGGCATGAAAAATAGCGTTTTTTGAAGAGTAATGCAAAAGTAGTGAAGTTTAAATAGGAAACATTTAAAAATTCCCAATTTTTCTTTTTGTTCTTGCTGTTGGAGTAATGAGAGCCCTTTTGCACCTTTCTGAGCCCTTGAAGGCGGTATTTTTGTAAAACGGGGGTATTCATATCAGTTGCTCTTTCAAGTGCAGAGCTTAGGACTCTGCAGTGCTGAAGTCCTTTTATAGCTTCTGGCTGGCTTTTGGGTGGACTTCAAATGCTCAGTTTTGACCTGAAAAAATCTTGAAGAGTTTGGCATTTATCTCTCTAACAGAAAACATAGAGCTTCCCACAATGCTTTTGAGCAAGGACACAGGCAGAAATGAAATGCACCTTCTTAGCCATGGTCAGGGCTCACATAATGAATCCTACCTCCCTAAGCCTGCTCCTCTCACTAAAGACATTTTAACTTTCAAGGCTTACTCCTCCCAAACTTCTAATAAATGTGTGGAGCACAAGTACAGCTCTTTTCTGGTGGCTTTGTCCTGTGCCCAATGAGGCAGGCGTGGTGTCGTGTGGCATGAACTTCAGATTTTTGTTCTCGTAGTTTGAGCCAGTTTTGATTTGAAATTGAAATTAATTGAAACTTACTCCTTTAAAACAAGAAAATAGATGGAGTATGGGGGGAAAAAGATAAATGTTACAAAATATCAGGAGAATAACTTCATCTTTTTCAGAGG